AACATGCTCAGATTTCTTGTTTTCATATTTTATTCGCCAAACAACCACCCGTCAGGAGCAAATGGTGATTCCACTCTTGGGCTTGCTTTGTTTGAACTTGGTACTTGGGACTTTATTAAAATGGTGAAATTGTCAGATCATCAATATCTTCCTTTGCCTCCACTGACACACAACGCAGACACAGAACTTCTAGCATATTTCTGGATGCAGCTGTTAACACAACAGTATGTCCATATTGATGTAAAGATACAGATCTATTTTAGTGTAGTTACTAATGATGAACTAAGTAAACAAAGGCAGTTTAAAATATTGTGATACATAGTCAGGTTTACTATGTTCATGTTTATTTTTTGGTTCAAATGTAAAAATGTGCACACCTGCCTTCTTCTTTAAATAACTCCCTAAACAGTATGATTGTTTTTATTCCTAAAACCAACCACATTATACCAAAAGTATTGGCTTACACCTTAACATTTAGGTCATGTCTTGCTTCAAAATCACAGAATATGAACATCAGTGCTTAAGCTCAACAATTGATTTGCATGTTTGTAAAATTATTGAGTATGAAAGACACTAACACCTAATTAATTACATTCTATAATATTGTAATTAGGCTGTACTGTTACATGCAACTATTCACAGTACTGAAGCATAAATGCCTTTAGTCAGTGGTTTATGACTCCATCTTGTGGTGAATCTCTATCAACACAGATAACCCTGTTGAGAAGAGGTGTAACATATGTCCCAATAAATTAAATATGATCTATACAGCTCGTGTAAAACTTTTAGTACAGTCTAGAGTTATTTACACTAAGGATTAGTTATCAGTATTGGAAACAGGCAGCAAGCAACACCTGAACATGTGAATGTAAACAGGAGGATGGGACTGAATAACAAAAACAACAAAGAAAATAAAGAAAAATCCATATTAGAAATTTGGGGTAATTTGTGCCATTTTTTTTTTTTTTTACAACGCTGTTGCATAAAAAATGGCCTCAGTTTTCACACATCATGATCATTTCCTTCTCTGCTTTTTCAGGAACTAAACATTTCTGACTGTACTGCGTCAAATTAAAAACAGGCGCCTACAGGAAGTTAACGCCTTCAAATTAAAAGCATAACTGTCACTTAAAAACATATTACTAGAGCACAAGCTGCGAAAAAAGGGGGGGAAAAAAGACCAGCGAGTGAGTAACAATCATATCACGAAACCTATTTTGTTTCTTGTCATTTTGAATACTATTATTAAATTATAGGAAACTAATAGTATATTATATTTGAAATTAACCGGAAGTTAGCTAGCGAGCTATTGAGCTGTTACCATCGGCCGACGCCTACTAGCTAACGTTAATTGGAAGCTCGGTAAGTGAAAAGTCTACTGTACATTTGCAATTAAATGAAATAGTTTAACTAGTGACACCGTTTTATGATCTCGGTCTTATCTGTTCCCGTGTGTGACAACGATTTCTTATTTCAAAAGTTCGACTTAACTCAACGAATGGCAAAAAGTATCTCGGTTTTATGTGAAATGTGGCTACAAGGAAGTTGTTCAGCGCTTCACACACTCTCGAAAAAGACCAGCTAACGGGAGACACCTATGTGCTATACTTCTATATAATTTACCAATTTGTGACAATAGTCCAAAACGATAAAGGTCGACACCGTAAAAGGTTACTGCTGTTACTGTAACTTTGACTTCACAGGCCACCAAACTTTTTCAAAACCGCACATACGCCTGTAGAAGCCAGATGTCTGTGATTAAAACAACTGTTGTACAGTTTTTCCACGGCGACTGGTTGTTATTGGATGCTTTTGTTTGTGATGGAGGTCTTATAACAGGACTTCGTTGTATTTTCTTGAAGAAAAAAAAAGAAATGTGCCCTTTGTAATCTGGTAATAAACATATAAGAAGCATAAAAGTGGATACAAATAGTGTATTTAGAACAATAATACAGATGTAATACATAAGAAAACAAGAAAAAGGTGTGATTTTTAATACCAAGGGATTCCCATAAGACAAGCTATTATGTTCACTTCATGATGTCCAATATTGATAAATTTGATTTGTGCCATTATCAGCTCTTATGTGCCTGACTGATATATTAAACATCAGGCCATTATTATCTCTTACCTACCAGATTTAATTGTTTACATTAGTCACCCATGACAGATACTGTACGTTGAGTCCAAGTTCTGCTGCTTCTCACACTGTACAAATACACGTCGGACCATTCTTGGCCCAGAGTCCCACACTCCTGGCCTGCATTTATGGCTAAGCAGCCCTGGCCTGGGTCCATCCTCGAACGAGAAACCAATGGTGTCCTGTCAATGCAAATGTATTTTCTCCTTTCTTCTGCAAAATAGAAAGAATGTGCAGAAAAGATATTGTATAAAATCTGTTCACCACAATACAATGTTCACTACAAATACATGCTAGACTTAAACTATCACCCATGTTGTTTACTGTTATGTGAGTTTTCAGTCCGCTTTGTCTAGTTTGTGTTTCTAATCTTTTCCCCGTGTCACAAAAGATGCCAATTGGCATAATATCCTGGCATTAACAAAAGTGGGAATACATGCTTTTGATGAACTTTGAATCTAGAGCTGCAAATAACCATTTCAATTACAGATTAATCTGCAGATTTTCTAGATTAAGTTCATTTTTTAAAAACTCTACTGCCAGAAAATAGTAAAAAAAAATCAATGCCCATTATAATTTAAGTTCAAGGTGCTGTTTTCAAAGGTATTCAGTTTACGGTACAGAGAGGTGTGACTCAATGGTGTGAGTAGAACTTGAAGTCATAGCGCGCACAGGGTTTCTTAAACGTTCTGGATCTATGTTAGTCCAAGACTGGGACATTTTCCTGAGAAGCAGCCGGCGTTTTTTACTTAAGGAATGCTTGGCTTGTGTGTGTACTCTGTGGCTGACTTCAGGTTGAGTCCCTTTTCACTGTCCTTACTAAAGGCTTTGGAATTTCATTAATCTGTGTGGGTGTAAAGCAGAAGTCGGCTCAATATAGACACTGGCTGTATGTAGAGTTTAGCTCAGTATTTCTCTGCAAAAGTAGATTACAATGGTTTGTGCCACTTTAAGATTTAAGGTTATTGTGTGTACTCTCAGTTGTGAATTTAATTGGTGTTTGAGTCCAACGTAACAGCCCATAATAACTCCTATCTGTGTAGCTTTTAGTGTTGAGTTCCTGTTGACACTATCAAAGAGGTGTAGGTTCAGCTTGATCGTACATTTGGCAATAGTTTGTGGTTGTATTGTATTTTATTGCATTTAGAACTGAAACAATCAATTTATGGATCTATGGTCAACAGAAAAGTAATTGGCTATTATTCGGCAAACCAATAAAGTGTTAAAGTGATTAATGACTTGCCATATGCCAACCATTCATTGGTTCCAGTTTCTCAGTTGTGAAGATTTTATACTTTTCTTTCTTCCATATCATTGTAAATTGAATGTCTTTTAGTTTTTAACTGCCAGTCAGACAAAACAAGCAATTTGTAGACGCTACGGCTTCAGGAAATTGTGATGACAACATTTAACAATATTTTCTGACATTTTATAGACCAAGCTGACTTTTTTCCCAGAGTTTTTAAAAGCTATGAATCAGTCGGTGGCTAGAAGAAAAGCCAAAAACGAATCTCAAACTGTTCATGACAATGTCCACAATCCTAATACAGTTTTTCAGTTGTGTCTAGATGATAACCCTAGATATGCTAAACTCTGACGAGATTTGTCATTACAACCATCAGAATAGACTTTTCTGTAGTGTAGATTTAAGATGAATGTACATGGCAACAAATTGCCAAGTAGCCTACAACGGCATGATTTGTCACTTTAGGGCACTTTATCTGAAATCTGGACAAGGAGCAAGGATGAGGAAGCATTCAAGTGTACTGATCTCCATTATTATTAATGTTCTCTTTTTCTTTTGTATTTATTTATTTATATATTTGATATGTTTCTATTTTATTATTATGATATTTAATAGAATATTCTTTGCACGCTACTGTATTACATCAAGTTCACATGTACGAGAGTTTTGCAAATCAAAGGCTACCACCTAGACACGACCCAGTTTTTCTAAGATATTGTTGCCATGACAGTAAATAGTTTCCTGTACACTAAGGAGGCAATAAGCAACTTGCATTTAGCTTTTTGTTCATGGTTTATGCCGGAGTGTCTCAAGTGGTATTCTGAATTTCCTGTTTTCTGTAGCGGTTTTTATATGAGTAAGTTGTTTTTCTGCTGAAAAGAAAAGCAAGTGAAATTATTTTAGATAGATTCAGAAGGCGCTTCAAGTGACAGTTCATACACGCTCCACATTTCTTTGGCTATGTTTTCCATAAGATCCTCACAATACATCAGATTGTCCCATTTTTGACAAAGTTTGCTGTTGAAAGAAAACTCTTTCTCTATGACGTGACATGTTGTGAAGAGTGTGTCAATGTGTGACATTACATGTAACAGACAGTCATATTAGCTAGCTACAGGGCACATGCTCATTTGTATATCAGAGCACATGAAAGGTCACCAAACTTGACATTTCATTTAGTATTGTGGATGTGTGCAGAAGGTCAGAAACTCATCCAGAGTTCCCTTTTCACAACATAAACACAGAAATGTGATGGTTCCCTTTTTGACTTAATTAACAAACATCTTATTTATTCACATTTTGCTTTTAATTTGACTTTGATGCTTTGCTGTAATAATCACACAATCAATCAGTATTATTAATTCTTCAAGTGAAACGTGAGGATATCTTGATAGGTGTAGGACACCGAGAGCTTCGGTTCTGCTTTTGTTAGGCCATAGTTCACAGTAGATCATCAAAAGCATAACCAAACATGTTATCCTTTAATCTAGTCAAAGGGAAGAGCAAGTAAGCCAGCCCTGTTGAAGGGAGCGGAGGGAGGGGGGAATATGGGGAAGCGGAGATGCATTTCCCATAAGTCATTGTCAGCCAGCTCCTCCCCCTGGTTGGCTGAGAGCCAGCATCAAGCAGAGAGAGAGCCTGAGCCGAGACGTTACTGAGAAACAGAACACGAAGGACGGGGCAGACAAACACAGAACCTACTTTTACTAATGTAGATGATAGGTTATTCAGAGCGGACACACAGGAGAGAGATAGCAGTTCAGACTGGCATCTGTCGGTACGTCTCCACTCCCCTCCACCTCACACATACATACAGTTGTTTATTGCAGTGGGTTTTTCTCTATTTCCTTTCCACGTAAGTTCATTGGGGTGTGGTGTTGCACCGGTGCAGCGTCTTAAGAAGGAAGTGACAGTTGAATTGCTTTGTTCTAGATAATCTTGCAGTGCAAGAAGTCGGCACACAAGGTAATGACGTTGCTAAACTTAAACAGATTTAATTGAAATTTGACTACATTTTGATGTCAGTTTTTGTTTAGTATTACTTGTGCTGGTACTGTCTGTGTTAGAATTAGAAGCAATATATGTAAAATATGCAAAAATTACCGGGCAGTTGTTTTGGCAGCCACGTGATTGTTTTAGTCAAGATCGCAGGTTTCATTCTGGTATGACCAAGATTATCTATATGTATATGTTGAGAAAGAGTCAAAAGCTGAGTGACAGGGAGAAGAGGAGTTTAAGTATAAACGACACACGGATGCAACTGTAGTCCTAGTTCTCTGTGTGCTTTTTAAACTGCATTAAGTGCATTTAACCATTGCGGAGAGGAAAGGAGAGTGTGTGTGCTGATTTTACAGTCATACATGTCTTGACGATTATAACCGCCAAGCCATCTGCAGTCAGTCACGCTAATCTTTATTGGAAATTCGGCCGTGCCGTGCCGTGCCGTTCCGTGCCTAATGTGTTGTAGCTAACTTCCTCAGTCTGAAAGAGAGTACTTGCAATGACACAGTTGCAACTGCCAAAACAAGGCTAGGGTTGAGTTTCCTGTCTCATCTGCCCACTGCAAACTTTCAAAGTTTCACTTTGTTTCTGATCAAGTGATCATCATGATCCTGAACCTACTTGACACAGTCAAATATGTTAAAGTTTAAACAAGCTATAAATAACCAGATTAATATGTGCTTTACCACAGTACATTGTTGCATTGAAGGTTATGTATATTTCTGTTGATGAGTAAACATCTAATCTTAAATTAACTCAAGTATATGAGCTCTTCTGCTTCGCTTGATGGATAACAAAATACTCTTTTTCAGCCTTGTGGTATTAGCCAAATGCCCCATTAAAAACAAACAAAACTTAAGAAATAAATTGAGAATCAAATGAAAAACAAACAAACAAACAAATTAAAGTTAGTAAAACGTTTAACTTGAAAATAAGACATAACGTTACATTTGGTTGTCACCATCCAGTATTTTTCTTTTTAGGCACAATCATTCTCACATTGGCAGAGAGTAAAAAGTCCTTTGTTACATATTGAGGAAATAGTTTTTGCAAGCACAAACATTTGTGAAGGTCAGTTTCTAGCGCTGATAGGCAGCAACCATGTGATATACTGTATAGACATGATGCAGTATCATGTTCAGCTTAATCAGTTTTAATGTTTTAACTGAAAGTGTAGTTTGTAAAGGACACAAATCTACTGCCATTGCATTTTCACTTTAAAATATAAGTTACTATAAACTAGAGCTGATTGGTCAATTAATGATTAGTTGACTGATTAGTTAGTTGACAATTTTGATAATCAAATAATCCTTTTAGTTGTTTTTTTAAGCAAAAATACCAAACATTTGCTGGTTCCAGCTTCCCAAATTTAAGGATTTAATGGTTTTCTTTAATGGTTGTCTTTTTGAGGGTCAACTGAATATCTTTCTTTTGTCGTACAAAACTTTGGAAGAAGTCCACTGAGGCTGTGGTTTGAAGTTACAAAGGGAACTTTTATTGATAAAACAATATATATATATTATATACTACTAATTGCAGCCCCATCAGTTGCATCCCTATTATAAACTTGTTTTCATTTCAAAGTCTCATGACTGAAACACAGCCAGCATGTCTTCAGTCACCGCCATTAATCTACAAACATATTTAATCATTTTTGGGTTTACCAAAAAATTACACCAAAATTTCAGAAAAGAGCAGCATGGAGGTTCAGGCGTATATGATCAGACATAAATGTTGACGTTTATACAATTGTCAAAAAAGCACTCGACTTACCAGCTGCTTATGATGTTCTCTCTCTCCAGATCCAGCAGATGAAATGGCGGTGAGGCAAAGGATCTTTAACTCAACATCACCGTTCTCCGGGTCATCCCAGGCCGAGCTGAAGGGGTCATACCCATCCTGCTCGGCTGCGGAACAGGAGACGGAGGAAGAGGAAGAGGAGGGGAAGGACAGCAAAATGGGCTACATACCCTGTTTAAACCCCTTGATAAACAAAGTCCTGACACATGGGACTGCAGAGCAAGTGGGAGAAATGCCACTGAAGAACTCAACCTTCATTGCCCAAGCAGAATGTAATTATGTTATAATATTTAAAAAATAAAAATAAATCACATAACTGTGCGTGGACAGTGGATTTAATGTTACACTGTGCTCTCTTCAGGTGAAACACAGGACTCCCAACAATTCAGTCCATCGTGTTCTGAACGTTCGTTTGTTCCCTCCCCTTATTCCTTCATCAGGTATGGCATCACCTTGACAATACTGCCTCTGCGTTTCACACTTTATATTTGTTTACAGAGGCTATACTGAATTGTTTAATGTCTGGAATTGACATTGTTGCCATACTTGTACTTCAGTATTTCCTTAGAGCACAACAATGTGGCGTGCCCAACCACAGCCTCCATCCAGGAGCCGAGCAGCTCATCAGGACAGCTCACTCCAAGAAAGAAGACCAGGAAGAGACAGAAGCGCAAGGGGAAGAAAAAACAGGAGAAGAAGAATGACAAGCAGCGACACAGACATCGAATGCCTTCTGGAGTCCCTGAACAGGAGAGTGGAAGTTCTCTGGTCCGGATCTTGGTAAGAACTTTGGTTATTCTTCACATCTCATTGAGTCCTACATATGAAAATGCTATTGAAACCGCCATTAAGAAGTAGGTTGGTATATTGTACTCTCTTATAACAATAAAGGACTGAGTGTGCTTCCAGTGTTTTTCTTGTGAATCATCTTAACGGATAAATGATTGCATTCTTTAGCAATCGTAGACTTCATCTGTAGACATTCCAACGCAAACATTTGCTTTCCTGCATTGTGGAAGTGAATCATTGAATTCAGACAAAGCTGCCTCTCATGGCGTCTGATCAACCATATGCTTTGCTTGTCACCTGTAGGAGGAGTCGTCTCTTGGAGAGAGAAGTGACCTCAGTACTTCTTGCTGTAGCAGCATCGAAAGCTCAGAAGAGCAGGACAGAGGACCTTTTCTCTACAGCCGACTCATCTACAACACAGGCTCCAGCTGCTCTCCTCTGAACTGGAGGGACCAGGTCTGCGGCGGCTTCTCCAGTCTCCATTCCTATGGGCAGGACAGCGACTCAGACTCCCTCAGAAGTCTGGGAGACTGTTCGCTGGCCCTTGCTGGCCTCAGGGCCAGTGTCAGTCAGGGGGACCCATGCTACGCGGCGCCCTTTTTCAAAGACGTGGAGAGAGATGTAAGAGAAGAGGAAGATGATTTCTCCGCAGCTGATTCTGTCCCCAATGAGGGATTAATCTTTTACAATGAAGTACGTTCTACTTTACGCCATTTTACTTCCTGTTATCTGTCTTGGTTTGAAATGTGGTTGAACCAAACTAACTTGTTTCTCTCTGATTCTATCAGAAACTCCAGCCTGTGGACTCTGAATACAGGGAAGGGAGGGAGTATGTCCTCTCACAGTTCGTCAAGGAAGGCTCCTATGGTGAAGTGCACAGTGCTCAAGATGTCAACACAGGCTTCAAATTTGCCATCAAAAAGGTAACGCAGAGCATATCGGCTTCTTTGTTTTTTCCACTGCCTGGTTAAAGTATGCCCTGATTGCTCATTCCGTTCTTTCCATCCACATAGATCCCCCTGAAGAGGTTCAGCAGTGAGGAGGTGGGTGCGTGGAGTACCCTCCGTTCTCCTCGTGTGGTGGAACTCTTTGGAGTGGTCAGAGAGGGGCCTAATGTCGTCCTTTTCATGGACCACAAATCTGGTAAACAAGCCTCACTTCTGCCTTTCACACACACACACACACACACACACACACACACACAAGCACATTCTGTCAGTGCTCACTGCTGCTGCTGAGATGGAGGGTGAGGTTGGAAATTGTTGGGTTAGTTGTGATGAATTAAGTGCTCAACACATGCACAGTAGGTGCAACTTGAGGATAATGAAGATAACAGAAATACGGATGTGATTAGTGTCGAAATGTGGATGTGGGTGGTTCTGGGATGCCAGAAATGACTGTTGAGCTTCCTTGAAGTGTTACGGTCGAAATTACAGATGGAGATGCCCACTTGATAAACACAATGGCATATCTCACACTTTTTACTTTGTCATCAAATTCCAGGCCATAAAAGAAGGAATAGTTGAATAAGATACTGTTTGTTAGTAAATATTAACTAGATATATGGTATTTATTCTGGTTTGACCTTATCTGTTGTTTCAGGCTCCCTGGGCCAGCTGATAGCAGAGCGTGGCAGGCTGCCAGAGGATCTAAGCCTCCACTACCACTGGCAAGTCTTAACAGCGCTTCAGTACTTGGTGAAGAAAAAAGTGGCGCATTTAGACATTAAAGGTATGTTATATTTTACCAATTTCTTTTTCATGTAGTTCCAACAGTTGAACCAAGTCTTACATGAGTTGTACTAAAAAATACAAATACAAATGACAATGCCACAAAGAAAACTGATTTGATCTCCTAAATGGTTTTATTAAGACTTACAGACATAAGAAGACATATACTGTAGTACTTTTTATTTGTCCTGAACACACTAGGTTTAACCTCAAATGGGCCATTATATTTAGCTTATTCAAGACAGTTATTGTAAAAGCATTAATGTAAATGAACAAAAAGTCTACAACTCAATAATGGATGGTAACATTCTTGTGTACTTCTATTGCCACTTGTTGATCTTACAAATGTTTTTATGCAGTCTGCTACCTTTAGAATTAGAAATTATCTAAAAGAATAATGTAAATGTTAAGACTAAAAAAGTAACAGCACTGATTACAAAAAAAACACAGACATCAGATATTGGCATTGGACCATAACAACACTTTCAAGATGAATTTTAACAGCAGCAATTGTACAGATCAAAGTGGTACAACAGTAATAACAGTAAAACAGAATGTGTCAGCTTGACTTTTACTTGTTGTGGTACCTAGTGGAAAACAAAAACATACAGAGAGAGTAAGTCAGATTTCTAATTAATTCTCATCAGAGGATTTTGTGTCTTTGTGCAGCTGTTTAGTGGAACACAAGTGTCATAGATAGTCTAGATTTGATCCTCAGCACCTGTGTTGTGAAACCAGACTACCACAGAGAAGACGGCAGGCTGGGAATTTCCCACAGTGTGACTCACCGCTGCTCTTTAGAAACGGCGCATGTGCGCAGAGTCAGGAGAGCAAGAAAGAAAGGGAGAACGAAACAGAGAGGGGGGATGGGACGAGGAGCAGGAAGTAGTTTGTGAGAGAATAAAGGACAAAGACGAAAAGCAGAAGATGAAAATAAATTTGAAAAAAAGTATAAGAAAGAAGGAAAGAGAGAAACAGAAAGGGAACTAATATAGAGGAAGAGCAAAAACAGGTTTAAGCTGAAGGACAAACAAACAGCATGATTGTGCTGTTGCAGCACAGGCGCCACCTGGTGTCTGTAATGCCTCCGGAAAAGCAAAGCAGTGACGCCAAATCTCTTTATCTGCTGCCTGTTAGTTACTAGACTCCACATTCATTCCATATTAAAGTGTTTTCTACAGCATCTGTCCCTCAGTGATTCATATTTCCCTTAGTTTGCTCCTTTGTCTGTAAACGGTCTTCTGTCTGTGCAGCTGTTTCTAATTATGTCATCCATAAACTAAACTGCATAAGTCAAAACACTGAGTGAGTTCACTGAGCAGTGTCAAGATTAATGAAGCTGATTGTTGACTCTTCTTGATTCCCTTGATTCCCACAGCTGACAATGTGTTGTTGTCAAAGGACGGTAGAGACACCTTCCTGTGTGACTTTGGACATGCAGAGAGACTTGATAATCAGGGACAGAGCCTGAGTGGGTCCAGAGGTAAGGTTACTGTGTAACTTTAGCATTTCAGTTAAGGAGATGGGTAATTTATCCACTTCCATGTCTTAATTTATTGTTTTCTCAATGTAATTTAATGCAGATCTGAAGGGCTCAGAGACTCATATGGCCCCTGAGATTGTAAAAGGGGAACCCCGCGGAGCCAAAGCAGATGTGTGGAGCAGCTGCTGTATGTTACTGAATATGCTCAATGGGTGTCAACCTTGGACAAGATACTACACCTGTAGACTTTACCTGAAGGTAAACTACCACTACACCCTGCTGTTTCATCGCAGATGTCCAGCGCGTTTTCCAAACTTATTCACATCAGACCTTTTTTGATGGTTACAGATTGCTAACGAACCTCCGCCTCTGAGAGAGATCCCCCCTGACTGTAGTCCGCACACAGCTGAGGTTATCAAGGCGGGACTGCAGAAGGATCCAGCCAAGAGAGCATCAGCATCTGACCTCAAAGAGAAAACTGCCAAAGCTCTGGAAGAAGGTAACTTGAATTTCCCTCAGGATAAATAAAGTATCTTATCTATCTAACTATATATTATTAGGTATAGATGCTTTTTTAACCAGGAAAATGTAGATGGCAGTAACTTTGTGCAGCCCTGAATAGTGACTGCAGGTAATCTTTTCAGGAATGGAGCCCCAATAACCCAGGGTAGGGCGGCCTATACTAAGCCTGAGGCCCCTATCCTCACTGGAAATGACCCCCTTGGAATCATCATCTCCAGTTTGTAAAGACTTAATGCATTGTGTTTGTGTGATTGCAGTGGGAGGACTCACCAGCCCAGTGAAGGGACCCTACACAGAGCCCCTGTATTTTGCCGACAAACCTCCTGACTCCCTGCAACTTATCGATAGCAGTTTTGACTACGAGGAGCATCAAGAGTCTGTTGAGGAAGTGATCACAACTGGGAGGAAGACGAAAGAGCTGGGTGATGCCAATGAAGAGGAGGCTGATTCTGGCGAATCAAAGCGAGGTTCGCCTTTCTGTCCGCAAACGCTGATTTCTGAGCCAAACCACAAGAGGGGCAACAAGATCACCACTGTGCCTGAACTAGAGCTACGTAAACTGGAGCAAGGTGAGGTTTCGGTCAGTGTTCTGTTTATTTTCTAATGTTAAATGTTTGATCCCTACTCACTGTTTTCCTGCTTACTTGCAGATTTCTACCTGAGCAGTCTGTCCCAGCTTCACCCAGCTGAGATGCAAGAGCAGCTGTTGTCTTGTCTCAGCAGTGACCCATACTCCAACTGGGAACCATGGGACAAAAAGGTAATCCCAAAACTCACAATAGAGTTCAACTGTAATTTAATTCACACTGCAGAAGGCAAACAGTTGGGGTGAGATTGATAACTGGTAAATAACGATCTGAGTCATCAATCACAGCCCAAGTCATCACTTTCTCTAATTGCTATCATCATACATCAAAAATATAGTGGAGACAAAAACATCCTCTCTATACATCCCAGTATCCCAGGATCTCCATTAAGCGTAGGCCCATATGAAGATAGGAGATAATGGATGACAGAATAGCAATTATGTTTAAAGAACAGCATCCAGGGACTGATTGGCTCGAGGAATGCCAGTAAAAAGATGATTGGTCAGATGTGGTGACATTGGAATTGTAAAAGTACAGACTTTGACAGTATGGGGAACCGGAAGTGACACAGAAAATGAAATGGGAGACATTCATCCATAAAGGAAATACAAGCAGAAAGTGTGTCAAAAGATCCAATCAAATATATTCCAGTTCTACATAAAACATTTATTTGGATTTTGATGTTTCATTGGTATTAACAGACCTGCTGTTTTGCTTGTGTTCCTCTTTTTTTAACCTGTTATTCCAGGACTCTGGCCGCTGGTCCCTGAGCCCAGGAGACGACGTCAGCTCTGGTGTCTTCTCCTACAACAGTCAGCCAGATGTGCAGGTTTTTAGTCTGGATTTGCTGAGTCACACACAGCTACCACCACCGTGCTGTTTTGAAGGTGAGCTATAACATTAACACCTCCTTTTTTTAAAAAACTATTTAAGGTAGTAGTACCAACTTGTAAAATGAGATAGAATTTGCCCTTAAGCCAAATATGATTTAATTTGTCCTTACTTCATGTGTATCTCTCTGTTGTGATTGGCTCAGGGGTTGATGTCTGCATCAGAGACTTCAACAGGAGAAGCATCCGCATCAGAGAGACGCGCCGGGTAAAGGTGGGCCACATCGCCACTGGAATCAGTGATCAGGTGAGGGCTAGCAGCCTCACACACTCGTGTGTCAGAAAAGCTATTCATGTTAGTCTCAGTGTTTTTAAACAGCAAGACTACGCTTCTTTAATGCTTCTGTGTGTCTCCTTTTTAGATCTCTGGGAGGGTTTTCACCTTGGAAACCCAGCAGGGGCAGCAGATAGGTCACGATGAGGAGGTCCAGGAGTCTGGTCTGGAGCTCTGCTGCGTTCCTGCTCCAGATTTCAGCTCCGCCTGGAGGTGGAGGATCAGAGACGGAGTGCTGGAGACGAGATAGAGGCCACAGCTCTCTCGGTGCGGTGTCATCTTAACCGTTGCAGATGCGGCCTTCTGTTGAATTGTGCGAGGATCATGCTTTCATTGCGGATAAAAAAAAATTAAAAATAGCAGTGCTGCCTTTTTAGCAAACGTGTCTTATGTTTAAATGCCATAATGTGGGGGTGTTGTGTAGCATTTTGTCTTCAAGGTGTTAATTCCTGTCAATGAACTGAGCTTTTTTGACCACTGTGATCTTTATGTTACACCTTTTCTTATTGCATGCTTAAATTGAAACATTAAACATGATATGAAACTGCAGAATGTGTGATACATTATTGATCTCACTTATTCACAATCTAATCTCTAATGCTATAGTGATTAAGTAGTTTACAATTCCGCACAGCGACCATGAACATTTCTGTTGTATTCTATAACTTTAAACTGGGATTTACATATCACATCTAACATATGAAGTCAGACTTAATTGTCATTTCTGGGTTATAAATGCTGTTTATGCTTTGTGCAATATCGTAAAACTAAAAAGCAGTCTCTTAGTCATCAGGTTTATCCCATTTGTTCCCCACTTGTGGCAGGATGGAGATGTCAGTCATGTGGTCTGCCCATACATATACCTAAAACTTGAGTCCACAGCAACTGGCCAGATTGTCATTTTTAGTACAGAAACTCATAGTCTCCGGGGAATGATTTGATGACCCTTTGATTTACCCTCTATCGCCACCATGAGATTTAAAAGAATTCTGAACAACTATTTAAACGTCTTACTTGAACGCATATTGTCACAGAAATAACAATAAAAACTAGCAAAAAACTGAAACTCAACGATATTATGAACTAAAAAAATAAACAGGAACTTGAAGTCTAATTTTAGTTTTTGTCAATTTAGTCAAATTTGTCAACACAAAAGCATGAGATGGGGATGTCTATATGACTGTTAATCAACTGCCTTCACACAGTGTTGTATTTGCCCCTGACAAACACCCCCCATATTATTTAAAACACTAACACTGAAACTATCTGAAATGAGCAAACCCACTCTGGAAACTGAAACTAAACTGAATTGAAAACAAATATTAAAAAACGAAGAAAAAAAAAAGGTGAGTTTAGTGAAATACAAAACTAAAATAACTAAAAATAACTGCTTTGGAGTCTCAAAATCTTTGCCCATGTGCTTCCTACTAGGGATGCACTATATGGACTTTGCTTCAGCAAATACAGTAACTGATAATTACTTCTTACTTCTCATGGCTGATATTGATATAATTTCCTTATATATAAAAATATTACATTTTTACAATTTATTTACTATTACAATTATATCAATATCATTAAAGTTCATAGCTTGCAGTTTATGCACACCTGAAGGTAAGAGAGGTTAAAATGTAGTGAGCAAAGATAAAAATGTTATATTCCATAGCTCTGAACATATGACACTGACATCACTATTGTTAACACAACAAGGAACAGTTCTGACATCACAAATATACTTATTATATGGCTTAGGCTAGAACATAAGTTTGGCATAAGAATTCAAAATACATAAATACATCATTTTATTGATCTTACCTTTATTCAACCAGATAAGTCAACTGAGAACCAATTCCTGTTTACAGTGACGACCTGGCCAAAAGGCAGTAACAGAGGGCAAGTCAAAACAATAATTTAGTGGCTATAAATTCATTTTTTGAATAATTCATAACATAAACATCCCATTATCAACTGATAATTTATCAACCCTGAATATATATTGTGCATCTCTACTTCCTAAGGGCTAAAGTATCAACAGCACTATCAATGCAGTATCTTATCATCCGGGGTTTAACATAATCCTCATTCCTACACTAATTATGCACATCCATAGCCACAGTAAGGGTTAAAAGATTTATTTTCAACATACAAAGTCACTGCAAAAAGATTTTCAGGGAGACTTGAAACTATTTTTTAGCTTTACAAACGTGTTAGAAAAAGGTGAAAATTTGTGAATATCAAAGTGATTTCATAGTAAAAAAAACACCAAGGCACTGACAAACAAGGAAAATGTATAAAAAGCTATTTGTCGTGTTAATAAGATTGCAGTCTGAATTACTCACATAAAAATACAGTACATGTGTGAAGTGAGGTAAGCATCTGTGAGCAATCCAGCGCTTTCTGCGTCTGCAGTGCAATATCTTCCATAGACCACAGGAAATGGCAGTCCATGACATGTGGCTCCATGACATGTGGCTCCATCCACAACACAGACAAAAATAATCAGTTTAAATGTTTTTCACGTGGGAGCCACATTAAGGTCACAATGCTGGTCAAAATGCCCACAGGCAGCATATGATTGAACGTTACAGAAGACGAGCATTCAGATCGAGTTGCTGAAATTATGCGACTTTTAAACCATGTGGTGATTCATGTTGAATGTAAACATAACTTTGTACACAAGTCCCAGCTGTGGCACTTTGATAATCCACTTAAACAAGGCTGAGGTCTGCAATCAAGAGGAGAAATTATATGGGATTGTTTGAGCCCAAATATTATCAGAGGTCTAATTCCTCTTCACTTATATCATCTTCTTGTTAAATCTACTGATTGTTTGCAAAAAATATCTGTGACCACCCTCGAACACGTTCATTGCCAGCAGATTGATTTACAGATTGACACCAGTAAACACTCACAAATACATATGAAGATGGGTTCTGTAGCACGCAGACACCATGACGAGATGGATGGAGAGAGAAGAAAAAAGAAAAAAAAACCCCAAAGAAAATGATGCAGAAAGAAAACTTTAAACTTAATCTAAAAAGTCAGTCCATATATCTTTTAGGACAGATAACAGAATGCAGTGACTCTTTTTATATATACCAAGTAAAAAATAAATTACTTAAAATGCATTCCCTGTTCAAGTCTGACACACTCTCCACCACCTTTTTTTTGTACATTTAATCAAGCACCGCTCGCTTCCTCAGTGGCATAGGGATCATGGGTACATCACGTGTTCAGTCGCACTCCCAATGCTTTGAAATTAAAAAGAAGCATAAACAAAGAGTGGCCCTTCGTGTTCAAATACAAGTTCTTCCTGCTCAACTTGTTCACTCTGCCATAACTTCTTTCTCCTCTTTAAAAGTTGTTTTTTTCCTTTCTTTTTTTTCTTGTTCCAGTCCCCATTTGTCACAGAAGTAGTTCCTCTCATCTTTCACCCATCTGCTCTTCACGAACCCGTCACATCTTGCGAATGACGAGAACAGTGGTGAGAACTCCAGCCAAGAAAACTCCCACCGTCTGCCATGTGGGTGTGCCAAAGTAGGAACGAATACCCTCCTAAAAATCATGAACAGACATAAAATATCAGCATGTGGCATAGAAGCAATCTGGAGCTGAATCTCAATTCCTAATAAATGATTGGTTTGAATTGCATTTGTTAGCCAACTCCTTACCCAGCCACCTTGATCTCTTATCCAGTTGATCACATGTTCCCGGAGGTAGTCCATGGTCCAGCTGATAATTGTTCTGATAATATCAGGAACTTGAGTCACAAGAGCCTGTGAAGGTATGAAGGGGAGAGGTTTCAGACGTCTTTGTGGTTCAATCGTAATTCCATCAATTCAAAGTCTTTTTTATAAGGGTTTTTCTTTTTATAATGGAGGTGAGGTACAACAGAGCTGCTTAACTCACTTTGATGACGAGTCGACAGGCAAAATAGAACAGTGCCACCACCCTGCCCCAGTTGAACTTTCCATCTGAAAAGATCTCAACGGCAACTTTCAGAAACACTTCTTTTGAGGGACTGAGCGCAGAGTCGTTTAACATTCTGGGGGGGGGGAAACATTAAGCGATTAGGGACAAGCCAATCATACATTTATTACTTATAATTCATAATTCCCCAGGCCTACAATGTAATGTAACAGATGCACAAGCAGGTAGCCCACCTTTGGAGCTCAACATTGCCATCCAGCTCATCTCCAATCTGCTGCAGACACTGGGCAAGCTTCTTCTGGTTCGGGTCACACAGCTCTCCTCCACCCAGCTGTGCCCTGGTCACTTCAGTATTGCTGTCTCCATGTCGCCGCACCCGCTCGTAAATGAAACTAGGAAGCGAGAGACAAACGCATAGTAATATAAGTATGATCTCGCTCTTTACCCAGCTCAATAATGAGAAGCCCAACTGTATACTCACTCTTTTAACAAAACAGCTCCTACTTCCAGTATCTGATCTTTTCCATTTCCTGAAAGACAAAGGTCAGTGTCAGATGAGTGAAGCAAACAATAAGATAATAAATAAGAAAATAAATAAGAGAAAAACTGAGAAATGTGTGCTTCTGTGTTAACTCCAATTAGATAACGGATAAGAAAACATTACAGCTCAGCTGAGTAAAGTAAACGTGTGTTAATTCGTGTGCTTTACTCTTCATATCATTGTTTGTATTTAAAAAAAAACCAACCTTGTCAAAGACATTTACAATAACGTCAGACAAAGGCAGCACTTATTACTTGTTCGCTAACTTCATTTGCCGAACTTCATCAATATCGTGGCTACATAATATTGTACGTGTGTGTGTGTCTTGGACTCGGGGGGCTGAAACGATGTAGCCGTCCGGATTTTTTTATGTTTCGGTTTTTTGTTCAAACCTATTTGCCAACTCACTCCTGTGCAGTTATCTCCGCAGTCTCATCTAACCGCTCGCTAGCTAACATGAGGCTAACGATACTCGCTAACCTCGGTTCGGCCAACGTTACAGCTCACAAACAAACACGCAACAATTACAAAACACACACGAGTTGAGCGTAACATCGTCTATGTGTATCACACTGCTGTCGACACTGTCACAGCCAATTAAATGGCGCAGTATAAGTGGTGTTAGCTGGTACCTTTATCGCCTCCTCCCGGGTGTGATGCCATCTTGTTTGTCTGTTTTATGTCGCTCGGACTTCCGTACAATCATGTGACAAAATGTTTTTGTTTGCGGCAACGTAGGGCGGGTGTCGGACGGGCTGGTTTCTATTAAGGCTGATGGGACAGACAGATGTGCTGATGTGATATCATAACGTTAAATAAGTGGAGGTGACATCATCCACCGTTTACTATATAACGTTTTTTATATATTATATATATATATATATATATATGGAGAGAAAATAAACAATTAAGAGTTTAAATCATGTCTTTATACTCTGTACCAGTAAAGTTATTGAAACAAACAAAAAAACAAAAAACAAAAAAAAAATATTTTGTTGATTTTTCAGAGCCTCGCCTTTTCTCTTATTTGACGTCATTTCCTGTGTCACGTCCTCTTCCGTTCGTCGCGCGCATTAGCAGGCCTCTTTACGACTCGGCTGGCAAAGATGGCGGATGCACAAGTACGTTCAGGAAAACGGCGTGGTGAATTTAAATCGATGTTTTTTACACTTTAAGTAACACGTGTACCGGTCTTTATTAAGTATGTGCCTTTACACAACCTTTATACACAGCCGCGGGCCATTTAAACCACATTTGGGCTTTTATATGTGTCATTATTTGTTGTTGCCGTTCTGCATACCCTCGTGTAACGTTAAACTAGCTGGGGTGCTAACTCGGTTAGCCTAGCCCGCAGTCGGTTAACTCTCTTCCTTAACAGGGCTTTGCTTTGTAAATACTACAAGTGTGAACTGTCGAAACGTTTCCCTGTATGTTGTCTAACGATATTCTAGTTTAGTCCTTCGTAAGAGGAAGTTTATCTAAAGTTAGCTGGCGAGGCCGGGTGGTGTTAATGGCTCGTCCCGGTGCGGGGAAGTGTGGATGGCTCAGTTAACGTGGCTTCTTTTGTTACACGAATTTAACTTGTTAAACCTCCTTGTTTCACAGACCGAGCGGGCTTATCAGAAACAGCCCACCATCTTCCAGAACAAGAAGCGAGTTCTGGTCGCTGATGGTGGCAAGGAGGTCAAGGAAAAGCTCCCCCGCTACCACAAGAGTGTCGGGCTGGGCTTCAAAACCCCAAGAGAGGTGACTTGAAATGTTCTGAAAGTTATTCAATCCAACGTAGAAAACTAGAGCTGTTTTATGTTTGTTAGCTGCAAATGATGTCTTTCTCACGATGGTCTTCCAAGCCTGCATGGTTCTGACGATACTGCCTTATGGCAATACTGATGCAGTCACAAGAGTTATTTAAATGAAACTGTCTCATAACTAGGGGATATGTATAGAGTGGTAACACTAACAGTGCTTTCTGCTTTCACCAGGCTATTGACGGCACTTACATTGACAAGAAATGCCCCTTCACTGGAAACGTCTCCATCCGTGGCCGTATCCTCTCTGGTCAGTTTAACACTTAACACAGAATACTTTGGCACTGGCTTTGGGTTGCTGAAGCTGTTCACCCATGAACTTGCATTCACACAGGTTTTGGTTTTGTTTAGTGTACTGTTAGGAGAATTACTGTCTTAAGAGTTAGACATTTCTCTTTGTCACTATCCTGCAAATGATGTTTTTCTCACGATGGTCTTCCAAGCCCTCTGGGTTCTGACGACGATGCCTTATGGCAACGCTGATGTAGTGGAGTGACAATTTTATCGTTCCCCATAGTCGCACTAGTTTTCTGATCTTTGAGTTTTACTGAATGGTACATGGAGGTTGATATTCACATTCCCTGTGTGTGGTCTGCAGGTGTGGTGACCAAAATGAAGATGCAGAGGACCATCGTTATCAGACGTGATTACCTGCATTACATCCGCAAGTACAACCGTTTTGAGAAGAGGCACAAGAACATCTCTGTCCATCTTTCACCTTGCTTCAGGTATGTCCCATGCTGTTAATTCCTACAGTAATAAACATTCCAAATTTGGATAGTTTACATGAAATTTATGTGGAAAAATGTCTGGAAAATAGATGTTTTCCCCAGCCAAATTTATCTAAAGTATAACAAGTCGCTGCAAATGATGTCTTTCTCACGATGGTCTTCCAAGCTCAAGAAGCTTTGACGATAACTGCCTTTGGCAAATGCTGATGCAGCTTTGCGTTACACCTCCTGCTCAATCATAAATCTTTGTCTGCTTGGTCTTGGACAGAGGATCCACAGCCACCTGTTAATGTGTCTTTTTATTGTGTTTTTCTGCAGAGACGTCACAGTTGGAGACATTGTGACCGTTGGAGAGTGCCGACCACTCAGCAAGACCGTGAGGTTCAACGTCCTCAAAGTGACAAAGGCTGCTGGAGCCAAGAAGCAGTTCCAGAAGTTTTAGGTGTGACTTTGAACAGGAAGGCTGCTGTTGGCTAACTTGTCTCACTGTCAAATAAAGAAAATCTTGTTTAAATAGCCTTTTCTGCTGTTTGTCTCATCATCCCCTTTGAATTTTGCACTAAATAATACATGCACATAATCAGTTCCATTGTTTTATTTGTTTTCCTGAAGTGTTTACCGTCTCTTGCTTGTGCATAATCTGCAGTGTACTACCACATCTGACTTATATAACTAGTTGTGAGTGTTTGTAGATGGCCTCATCCATCCAGTTGAGGACAAAGAATCTGCCTGATTTAAATACAGAAAATTTGAAAGTTAAGAATGCGCCACAGTTTTAACATCTGGTTTAATAGAGAATCAAAGCATTAATTAAGTGTAGATGGATGTTTGACTATATTTATCAAGAAGATGCAGGTCATGTCAACCCTTTTTAAAAAAAATCTAAATGTTAAAAGCTTAAAAGTGTTAAAACATCTGACACAAATGTAATGAAACTGAATTAGGGAAGTTACTTTTGTTTCTAAGTAGTTTCCTGTATCTACAACTAGAACAATTCCCAATTTAACCATATCAATCTCAGTGTAAATGGTATTAAGACACATGAATGTTGGATGCAGTGAAGCCCAGAACTTGCAAGAAAAAGACTAAAGGTCTCCTCTTGATCCCTTTTGGCAGTATAAATGTCAATATCTTAAAGAATGTGAATTATTTTTTTTTTTTCCTAGGTTAGATTAGACCACTGCAGAAAAAGAGTAACAGACAGGGTTAAAATAGAAACAGCACCATCACCTGATAAATTCTAACATTATCAGGATTTGTTAAACTGGAAGGATCAACAGAAATATGAACAAAAACTCTGTGACGTGATGAAGTTAAACACATTGAGTGTAAGGTTGAACATATGTGGAACTTCCAACCTGCACAAGAGAATCGGCGCTGTGATCATTAACATCTACAACAGAGAACTACACTTTTTAAATCTGCACGATAATTGATACAGAGGCGACTGGAGAGAGCAGGAAATCCAAGAACCAGAACTACATCCGGTGTAAAATACAGTATTTAGTTGTAGTAGATATTAAATTATTTCCCGAAGCTATCGATATTCCTGTGTACAGCAACAGCGCCCCCCAGTGTTTCACAAGTATACAACATGTCTTTACCATCAAAGAAATGCGTCCAGCAGATGGCGACACATACCTGTTTAATATTCTTAAGCAACCCAATCTTGAATCCAACACACACAATGAATCAGTCGAGGAGCTGCTTTGTGTCTTTGTTAAACTTTTTGAACTATAGGCTGCGTAAAAGCTCCTCTGGCAAACCTCTGATACATTAGATGGACATCATACAACATTTGTAATAATGTGTAAATGACCTAATTCTATGACTTAATCTATGTACTGACAATGTGGGCTTTGTGAGAGTGGCTCATTTACAGTGAAGTAAGAAAGTAAGTAAATCTTTATTTATATAGCACTTTTTTAGCACAGAGTTACAAAGTGCTTCACAAACAGACAAATAAAAATGTAAACATACATACATACATATGGGCATATGTAACCATACCCAATCATACATACATAGGGAGCATATAAATACAAACATATGGAAGATAAAACAAGACGGAAAAGGATAAATCAAAGAGGGACGACAGATGAGAAAATAAACAAGAAGATATATAAAAAGATTTGCCTATTGAGTTTGGGTTTAGAGAATTACATTACTGGATTTCCTACAAACAGTAAAGTACCAATGAGGAACATATTGGTCGATTTAACGTTCATGTGTGACACTGACCTGTAGGTTTGTATTCATTTTTTAATCCTAAAATCCTTTTTTCAGTCTGGTTTTCCTTTTCGTAATATGAGACTAATAATGATACACAATTAAGATTTTGGCAAACCCAATATATAGACTAGTTCTTCAGAAGTGCATAATGCAGGATTTAACAACATTATTACAACTATGAATATGTAGGAAACCTAAATGAACGCAGCCGAGATTCATCAGCTGAGTTATCTTCAGTTTTAACATAACCCCCGATTTTGGACTTTATATTAGTGACAACAGCTTTGAAGGAATTTAAATGCCCTCCATCTGCTAGATATGGTGGTCAACTATCAATCACTGTTATACGATGGCTTCAGCATCCCTCTAAGAGCTCAATGACCTCCTTCTTTTGTACAGTTACAGGCCTGATGATGCTCACCAGTGTCTGAGATCCATAGGCTCAACAAGCATGGATGGCCTGTCTGCATCAGCTGAGTCATTTGCATGTGTCCTTGTTTCTGCTTGAGAAGATGACAGCTTTTCTGTATGGGAATCAGTGAGCCCCCCCTCCGCAGATCGTCAATCCTCCACTCAGCCTGGCCGTCTGTCTGCTGAGTGCCACGGCAGAGGCTTCACCATTAACATAATGATGCTGTAGATGTTTTTTCCCAATGCTCAAGTGAATGTGGACCATATGGCGATGACGCGAAGTGGAGAGAGTGCTTAATGTGAGCTCAACCGTGTAAATAGATCCATCATTTAGGCCGATGATTAGCAGAGTATGTCTGAAGGTTTGTTTTTGAAATAACCAAACATTTTCCTCAATTACAGTTTTCACTTTTGTTGTACTGACAACAATCCCAGCTCTCCACCCATGCTGCAATATTTACCTAAACAGCAGAGTCTCAGCTTCTAACCGCAAATTGTCCCTCTCTTGTACTGGGGCTTTCCCAGCTCCTTCTCTCCATGGGCGCAGACACTACAGGAGGGTGGGAGGGCCTCAGGATGTTCTCTGAATAACAGGCCCTCTCCATGAGCAGAC